TACACTAGAGGGTCTGTCTGCCTTATTTGGGGGTCTGCGGCATATAAATGCCTTAATGAGAGAGGAGCTGGCTAGGCTGGTCAGCCTTCACAAGACGGCCGAAGCGTTCTGCAACCGTTCGGTTAAAAACTGTGAGGTGCAGACCACGCCACTCAAAAAAGTAGGCGAAAACGTTAAGGCAGCGAGCATTAGTGCTACAGTAGGTAGCAATACTCCCAAGCGGTCGAGGGAAGTCGCCTCCGAACAGAGGAAAACTCCCTCAAAAAAGCCGAGGCCCAATAGAAGTGCAGCGAACCCAAAAGAACCAATGGCTCTACGGGCTACAGCTGAATCTGAAACTTCAAACCAGGCCGCCCGACAGACAAACCAGAGCAGCTGGACAGTCGTCAAAGGGCGAAAGCCTATGCAAAAACGTCCCAGGACTGACGCGATTGCGATTTCAGGCGTAGGGGGTTGCAGCTACGCGGACATGCTTCGTGTAGTTAAAAACGACCCAAATTTGAAGCATCTGAGCAGCGACGTTCAAGGCATTAGGAAGACAGCTAAGGGGGACCTTTTACTGCAACTGAGTAGGAAGCCGGAGCATAGCGCTGAGGCTCTGCACGAAGCTGTAGGCAAGGCCTTGGGAGACCGAGCGGTAGTTAAAACACTTACCGAATCGGCGCAAGTTGAGATTCGCGATCTAGATGAGTTAGCGACCAAAGAGGAGATCTTAGAGGCAATTAGGGTGGAGTTGAAGGATAGCTCACTCCCCATTGAGGCTATCAAATCGCTTCGGCCAGCTTTTGGTGGACAGCAAAGAGCTACGGTTGCTCTTCCAATTGGGAAAGCTAAAACTCTGCTCGAGCTGTCCAAAATTAGAATAGGATGGGTAGTTTGCCGTATCCGAGCCGTGAAGCAGCCTAAACGCTGTTTCAAGTGCCTCGATTACGGTCATATGGCAGCAAACTGCGGCAGCGACTGTGACTTAAAGGGCGCCTGTTTCAGGTGTGGAGAAATGGGTCACAGTGCCAAAGCATGCACCAAGCCACCAAAATGTAGCCTCTGCATCCGGAAAGGTGAAAAGCAGACGGACCATTCAGCAGGCAGCTTCAAGTGCCCATCTTACCGTGAAGCTGCTCGTAAAATGAAATGTTAAGGTTTTTGCAGCTTAACTTAAATCATTGTGCTGCTGCCCAAGATCTTCTAGAGCAGACCATTAGAGAAAAATGTATAGATGTAGCTTTTCTCAGTGAGCCTCACCACTGTAGAACCAGCTGCCCTAGGACATGGTCAACAGACGTTAATGGCAAAGCTGCGTTGTGGGTATGCGGCAACTCAACGAACGTACTTTCGAATGTTAAGTCATTCAATGGGTTCGTACGTGGCCGATATGGTAGCTTGTGGCTTTACAGTTTCTATCTGGCCCCCAGCATGCAGCTCAGTGAATTCACGACGGTGCTCGACGAGCTTGCCGAGGATGCTAGGGGTCGGAAGGCCATTATAGCTGGAGATTTTAACTCCTGGGCGCTAGAATGGGGTAGCCCAACAACAAATGCCAGAGGTCGTATCCTACTGGAGATCTTCGCGACACTAGATGTTGCACTGCTCAACACTGGCCATGAGTACACCTTCAGTCGGGCGGGATACGGGTCTGTTATCGACATTACTTTTGTCACTTCATCCCTCTTTCGGGGAGCAACATGGAGCCATTGCGATAGCTATACAGGCAGCGATCATACGGCACTTCTGTTCACAATAGGTGAGCCACCTGCCAGGGCGTCAACATTGTGGAGGGAGTCGTATCGGCTAGATACTTTTGATCCCGCGGTCTTTTCAGAGGCCATTCAGTCTCTGGGTACAATTGGTAATGCTGAGGCCAGAGCATGCCAAATGGTAGCCCAAATACAGAGTGCCTGCAATAGCAGCATGTTACGCCGCAAGCAGTTCACGCGACAACATGAGCCTACGTATTGGTGGAATACGCAAATAGGTGACATTCGTCGCAAATGCATCCAGGCGAGAAGAAGCTACCAACGGGCTCGCGGTAGGCCAACGTTTCTTGAGAAACAGTTAGCTTACCAGGCAGCTAGAAGACAGCTGAAGAAGGCCATTCGGGCAAGCAAAAGAGAATGTTTTTTACAGTTGTGCGACTCAGCCGAATATGACCCTTGGGGCAGGGCATATAAGATAGTAGTTAAAAGACTATACGCAGGTAGACAGGTGCAGCCTACGGATCGTCTGGAGCTTAAATCGATTGTGGAAACACTCTTTCCAGAAAGTTTAAGCTCCATTCACGCCCCTGAGTCCGAGTCTGCTGATCAGGGCTCAACGAGCACTGAAACTGCTGAAATTGTTTTAGTTACAGAGGAAGAAATATCAGTAGTTCTCCGAGGTCTTAGAACCAACACAGCTCCGGGGCCGGACGGGATCCCAAATCGTGCGCTAAAGCTAGCCCTCGCCTTGCACCCAAGTACGTTCGCCGAATTATTTAACGAATGCCTGATCCAAGAGACGTTCCCGGCAAAATGGAAAGCCCAGAATCTGGTATTGCTACCCAAGGCTGGCAAACCACCAGATGAGCCATCTTCGTACAGACCGATCTGTCTCTTAGACACCATGGGAAAGGTGTTTGAGAAACTGATCTGCTCTAGGCTGGAGACTGCGATTGCAAGCGCCGGAGGCCTGTCACCAAACCAATTTGGATTCCGGAAGGCCCGGTCAACAACGGACGCGCTTAACAAAGTTGTTGGTCTGGCCACTTCCGCTATTCAAGGCACCAGATGGAGGCACGGGACGAAGGAATACTGTATCATCGCGACCCTGGATGTAAGGAATGCATTCAACACAGCTAGTTGGGATATGATACTGAATGCGCTGTCACAATATAATATCCCTAAATATCTAAGAGAGATAATAAAGAGCTACTTCAGAGGAAGATCACTGGTATACAACACGAGTGAGGGTCCCCAAACTCATACAGTGTCAGCTGGAGTACCCCAAGGCTCAGTGCTGGGGCCTCTCCTATGGAACATCATGTACGACGGCGTACTGCGCTTGGAACTACCAGCAGGCGCGCACACCATTGGCTTTGCTGATGATGTAGCTGTCGTAGCCATAGGAAAGGAGCTCAAAGATACAGAGGATATGTGCAGCGAAAGTATCAATCGCATACGAAGCTGGTTGACAGGAGCTGGGCTCGAGCTAGCGGCACACAAGACCGAAGTGGTACTAGTCAGCAGTCGCAAAGAGTGGAAACTGCCAATATAAAGATCGGCAGCGTCACCATTGCGTCAAAGAGGGCGATAAGATATCTTGGTGTCATGATAGACACAAGATTAACTTTCCGCGAGCACTTAGAATATGTGCATAAAAAGGCAGCTGATTCTTGTAGAGCTCTCTCGAGAATCATGCTTAACACGCGGGGACCTAAACAGCAACGACGTCTCCTCCTAATGAGCGTCATTAGGTCTGTCATCCTCTATGCTGCGCCAATATGGGCAAGAGCGATGGCAACGCCGAGCTACAGCCGAGGCATTTGCGCGATCTACAGGCTGAGCGCAATCAGAGTCAGCTGCGCTTTCAGGACTATCTCCGATGACGCGGCGCTCGTCATAGCCGGTATGGTGCCACTGGAGTATTTGGTCGCCGAAGCCGTGGAGCGGAATTCGCACGGGCCTACGCGACTCAACGCTGTCAGGGCGAACAGCATCGCACGATGGCAAAGAAGGTGGAATAGCTCAGCTAAAGGGCGGTGGACGCACAAGCTCATCCCGGAGCTTGAACCATGGGTTAACCGCAAACATGGCGAGGTTAACTTCTACCTTACGCAGATCCTCTCGGGTCATGGATGCTTTCGGAGCTATTTGAAGCGCTTTGGCCACGAGGAATCTGACGAGTGCCCCTGGTGCGAGCGAGGGCATGTGGAAGACGCCAACCACATTCTTTTCGAATGTGGACGGTTCCTGGAGGAGAGGCGTCGTCTGGAAGAGGCAGTGGGCCGCTCCATCAGAGCGGACAACTTAGTCAACGCCATGCTGGAATCGGAGGAAGCTTGGGAACTAACAAGCACCTTCGCGGCCACAGTGATGATGGAGCTCCGCAGAGTCGAGCGACTGAGAAGACGAGCTGTCCCAGGCTAAGGTAGCGCATAGTGCTTGCGAAGCAATGCTTTACGGCCGTCCCGCAAGCACCGCGCGCTATCCTAGCCACCACACAACTTGTAATTTTTTATTTTGTCAATAAATGAATATAAAAAAAAAAAAAAAAAAAAAACGTACGCACACACAGGTATACATACACACACACGCATACAGACACACATACTCACACACACGCATACAGACACAAACGCATACACACACACACACACACACACATACACATACAAGCAACCACGCATAAACACGCATGGGCTGCAGTGTGCGCTTACTATGAGAACTTAATTGTTTAATAACTTTTTTTATGGACGTACGATGAAACTTTTAGATTATGATTATAACATGAATATGCATGTAATTTCCAAAGCACAAGTCTCTAGTATTTGAAATACGCTTTTTACAAAAGTGAGGGTGAGGGGGTGAATTTAGAGGTGGGGGGTAAATTTTAACAAAAACCGAAATTGTATAAATTGCATATAAGCATACATTAAAAATTTGGAGACTCTAGCAATAAAGGTGTAGAAGATATAATTTTATAACTGGGTTTCGATAAGGTTTTTTATCGATAAAAAAAGATCGGGATGAGTTATCGATTTTTAATGATAAACTTGATATGCGCGCTGTAATTACGGACATTTTAAAAAAAATTTGAAGTCTCTAGCTCTTATATCTTCTGAAATCGACGCGTTCATACATACGGACAGACGGACAGACGGACAGACAGACGGACAGGGCCAAATCAACTCAGCTCGTCACCCTGATCAAGAATATATATACTTTGTGGGGTCTGCCACGCCTCCTTCTCCCTGTTACATACATTTCAACAAAACCATTATACCCTGATTTCCCATTGAAAATGGGTTCAGGGTATAAAAAAATAAAATTACCAAAAATATTTCATTTAAATACTTACCTGATTGCCGATGCCATTGGGGGTCCTCTAATCTGAAAAGAAAAAGAAGAAAAATATTAATATTTCAATTTTCAACTCACCACTACATAGATGGAGAGGGTATGCGCCAGCCGGCGCATGCCAGTGATTGACGCCAGTGCTCCATGGATGCACACTGGCCACGCACTAACGCTTAATGGCTGCCAATCCGGACGACGAGCTGCGCGGGACGCACGCATTCCACCGATGACAATGTATGCAGCCGCACACTGAAATAAAAATGAACCACAAGCCATTATCAGCGTTAGACGACAACAAGAGGGCTACTTATCTGACGAGCTGCGACCATTCCAGCGACGAAGAAGGATGTCCACGATGACTGCCACCAACGTACCTGCAAAATAGAATAAGTTAATATTAAGTTAATTTTTAATGTATTTATGTTGAATGTTAATTTATATTATTCTTATTGTCACTAAATGTAATTGTAATTGTCTTTTGCCATTATGTATGTTAAACATGTGAGTTAGTGATGTAAATTGCATGTAAATATTATATGTATAGTTAGCGTCACTAAGTTAATCGCACGAGTGACTACTGGATTTTAACCCATTCAACCCAACAAGTGCCTGAAGATGCTGAGATTACTACTCACACCATAGTTGCTCACCCGAGTAATAAGTTGAGTGTCGCGAGCGTGATCGGACGCACACCGCTGAGCGCGAGGCCGGCGGGCAATTAGTAGTCTAGCTTTGTAAAACTATATTAAGCCAAGACTGCGGTGAATAATAAAAAAAGCACGTAACAGAAGTGACAATGCTGCCTCTATGGCTATGACCATTAAACAACATCTATGCAACGCCAATGCTGTCAAGCAGCCACAAATGCCACAGCAACAGCAACAGCAGCAATGGAAACAGCCACAAATGCCACTGCAACAGCAGCAACGGAAACAGCCACAAATGCCACAACAACAACAACAGTCAATTAAAGTAAATAAATTGCCTAAACAGAAGCTACCACAGCAGCCGCTAAAAAATGTAAAGCCATATCCCAAAAAACAAAGTCAATCAACATTACTTAGTTATGCTGACGCTCTGAAAGCAAACCACCATCCTGTCCAATTGAATCAACCAATTGCTAGGCAGCAACCACAGCCACAAGAGGGACTGCGCCGAAAACTGCCATATGAAGACGTCAGTACTGATGCTGCCACTAAATACAAATATGAATCTCGTCAACATAAAAATGTCAATACTAGCACAGATCAGAAGCTAGACATTCTTATTAGTTTGATGCTGGAGGAGCGTAAGCGTCCTGCTGCCCCAGTAGTCAACAACAACAGCAACAACTCCAGTAGTAACCTGGAAGAGAAGATCGACAAGCTGATCAATATGATTGGATTGTTGGCCACTCACCTGATGAAAGACAATCGAATAAAATAATTACTGCTCTAATGCACATGATTGTGCCCAAATTGCATATGAAGATGCAAATGCGTAAGCAAATGCAAATTCATATGTAATCAACAATTACAAATATATATACTATATTTGTATAGTCCGTATTAAGAAAAACACAGCCCGTACAGATGCCCCGTCTCCTTGAAGTCCGATGCCAGAAGTCCGATGCCAGAAGTTCAATGCCGAACCTGAAATAAAACGGAGTCCAATTTTATTACACACTTACCTATGTCCGATGCCAGAAGTCCAATACCTGCAATTAAACGAAGTCAATACCAATATCATTACACACTTACCTATGTCCCGTCCCTGGATGACCAAGATGGAGCAGTTGATTTGCTGAATCTGTAATTGAACAGAGTTCAGTAAATTGCCAATAATGATGACCACATACCTGCTTTCCCGATGGATGCAGTTGATTTGCTGAATCTGTAATTGAACAGATCTCAGTAAACTGTCAATAATGATGTCCACTTACCTGCTTTCTGCCATTTGAGGATCTGATGGTGCTGGTGCTAGTCTCCAGCAAACTTGAGATGCCTAATATTTACCATGTGTCGCTGGTCCAAATTGCGGTGCCAGCAGCCATTCATCTTGTCCTGCATAATTTCCACCGATTGTGCTGCCACTGACGGAGGCCGTCTGTCCCTGATGGTCCTGATGATTTCCTCGCCTAGATGTCTCCTCACCTGTAAATAAATAGAAAATAATTTGTATTATTAGCTAAGTTAATTTAAGTTTTCCTATTGTTATTTGTAAATATAGTTCTAAGTCACAATAGCTCTAAGTTCGCTATTCAAAATGATCGCACATCGATAACATTTATTAACTACGATAGTAATGCCAATAATCTACTCAGCCCTGGCTGAGCAGTTCCCCAGCAACTCGAGCCCTGACTGCTCTGCGTAGCATGTTTTCAGGCGCCACTTAATTTCTAAACAAATGATACTAGGTATCGATTATAGTCGCTAATCTGCTTTCGTCGCGGTCGGTTGTGTCACGCATACATAAAATACGCGAATTTTCTACTTAAGCTAAAAATAGCCCTAACTGTAAAAGACCTAACGGTAAACATCGGACGCTGTCCCGTGCAGTGTCGGCTGCCCGAAACAACGAACAACAAGGCGTCTGCGACAAACCAAATATACTCGTTGCCCACCAAGGCCACACTTATTACCCCTCTACGTGCGCGCCACTGCACAAGAGGGGAAATAAACGCCGTGCTCAGCTGATATTCTGCTTCGAAAATATAACAAAAGTTAACAAACACGAATTAAAATGGACAAAAACCTTTCTGCTAACTCTCAGCTTAGAAATAAGCCGATTGATTATGTAAGAATGTGCCAAATAGCTGGGAAAACACCTTTTGAGCTGAGGGCTGAATTCAATAACCAACGCCTATCATGCACTGATTCTCAGAATCTCAGCACCATGACAACAACAATCACATTTACTAGTGCTACTTGTAGCACAGTATATACCACCGCAACTGCTGCAATTACCAGCGCGATCCCTAGCGGAAGAATGGATAGTCAGGCAGCCGGCTTCCCACCTGACTCTGTAAAACTCACTGGAGCTGCAACAAAACTGGCAGCAGCCCAGAAAATGCTTAAAACTAAAAGGAAGATACCTCTTTCATGGCTTCAAGCACAACAACGCGAACAGCAACAACAAAACAAGAGAAACAGTGAACGACTAGAACGTCTAGAAAAAATTGTCCACGAAATGGCCAGCATGCTCAAGCAATGGACTGGGGATTCATCGACTCACCAGCTTCATAACAACGCCTCAGCCTCACAATGAACCCACTCAAGATTCTCATCTGGAATGTCAATGGCATTGCAGGAAAAGCCAGAGATGTGGAGCTATTCGCGCACAACAACAACATCGACATTCTACTATTAAATGAAATCAGACTGAATCGAGGACATACAGTCAAAATATATGGCTATACCTTCTATCCAGCTTACAAGCCATCAAGCCACAACCATGGTATGGGAGGAGCGGCTATATTCGTTAGAAGTTCACTGCGCCACTTCCCACAAAGGGTTATTGAAACTCAAAATATACAAATGTCTGCAATCAAAGTTGCCACTGGATTGGGAGACATCGAATTTTGCGCCATATACTGCCCACCAAGGAACAGAATAGAAGAAAGACAATTCAGCGACATACTCGCTTCTTGCGGCCAAAGGTATCTTATTGGTGGTGACTGGAATGCACGACACTGGCTGTGGGGAGATTCATATAATTCACCCAGGGGAAGAGAACTAGCAGAAGCCATCACGGTCAGAGGAGCTAGTATTCTTGCAACAGGATCTCCTACTAGGTACCCATATATATCCAGTCATACTCCCTCTTGCATAGATTTTGCATTATACCATGGGATACAGCATTATCAAGCAAATATTTATCAAAGCTGGGACTTAGACTCTGACCATTTAGCCCTTATTGCCGAGTTACACATCGATGGTCATTATATCAGGCCAAGCCCAAGGCTAATAACCAGCCGTACTGACATCGAGGCTTTCAGACAACAGCTAGATGACTCCATTCAATTGAATTTGTGTCTGAACTCCGGTGAAGACATCGAGAATGCGGTTGATAATCTCTCGGAGAACATATATAGAGCTGCTGCTGCTACAACACCGGTTAATCCTGCGCCTCGTCCCAATAATTATGGCATTGTTCTAACGAGAGAAGCCAAAGAACTCATCAGAACAAAAAGGCGCCTTCGTAGAAGAGCAATTCGATCCCAAGATCCTTGGGACCGACTTTTGTGGAACCGGGTAGCAAGACAGCTACGTAACCTTTTAAGAGAACTCAGAAGCGATTTCTTCGAGCAAAAACTGGCTTCCATGGACTACACTATTGATGCAAACTATTCGTTATGGAAATGCACAAAATCACTCAAACGACAACCTTTTAGACAGGTACCTGTCCGATGCCCTAACGGCGAAGTTGCTAAATGCGAATTGGAACAGGCTAACGCATTCGGATGCCATCTAGAAGAACGTTTTACTCCATTTAGTTATGCTACGACGGAGCAGACCATGGAGATACAGCTATATTTGCAGACCCCCTTGCAGATGTCTCCGCCTATTGAGCCTATAAGGATTGAAGAAATTACCGAAGCGATCCAAATATTGCCGAAAAATAAAGCTCCCGGAATAGACAAGATTTGCAACGCAACGCTGAAGGCCTTACCTACAAGAGCGCTTCTTTACATTGTACTAATCTTCAATGCCATCATCAGGCTCCAAGTGTTCCCAAGGCAATGGAAATTAGCTGCTATCTTGATGATCCACAAGCCTGGCAAGCCGGAAGAGGATCCAGAGTCATATCGGCCTATAAGTCTACTGCCCTCCTTGTCTAAACTATGGGAGAGGACCATTGCCAACCGCATTAACGCAATATTTAGACAATCCAATATCCTACCGGATCACCAATTTGGATTCCGGGAGGGACACAGCACAGTGGAACAGGTCCATAGACTGGTGAAACACATCTTGCAGGCTTTTGATGACTCTGAATACTCCAACGCTGTCTTTATCGACATGCAGCAAGCGTTTGATAAGGTGTGGCACGATGGATTACTGTACAAAATAAAAAACCTTCTACCTGCTCCGTACTATGGCCTCTTAAGATCTTATCTAGAAGACCGTGTGTTCCAAGTCAAGGTAAAAGATACACTCTCGTCCACATACCCTATGAGAGCAGGAGTGCCGCAGGGCAGTGTTCTTGGTCCGCTGCTGTTCTCCTTGTACACCTCTGATATACCTAGCCCGTCCCTCTCAACATATGGATGCTCCCTCGAAAGCTGTCATTGCCACATATGCTGATGATATTGCCATCATCTATAACTCAAAAAACGTGGTAGAAGCAAGTACAGGACTACAGAGATATCTGGATACTCTCGCTGATTGGTGCAAGCGGTGGAATCTCAAAGTTAACCCGCTGAAAACATTGAACCCTTGCTTCACTCTAAAAAGGCTGGCAATGCATACCCCCCCAATCCAGATGTCGGGAGTAACCCTACAGCAACCTGCTCAGGTGAAATATCTTGGCATCACATTGGACAAGCGCCTTACCTTTGGTCCACACCTCAAAGCTACGGTGAAAAAATGTCGTCACAGACTGCAACAATTAAGATGGCTCAACAATAGAAAGAGCACCTTACCGCTGAGATGCAAAAGAGCTGTCTATGTGCACTGCATCCTACCAATATGGCTCTATGGAGTGCAAATCTGGGGGATCGCTGCAAAATCGAATTATAAAAGAGTGCAGGTTTTGCAGAACAGAGTGTTAAGGCAGATAACAAACTGTCCCTGGTACATACGCGGCTCAACACTGCATAGAGACCTCAAGCTGTCTACTGTCGAAGAACAAATAAATAAGCACACAAGCAGATACTCAGACAGACTCGTACGACATCAAAGCCTACTCGCAAGAGGTCTAACACCTGCCAGACCCCTAAGACGACTTAAACGGCAGGGCTTTGCCAAAACAATGGGTATTCAATAAATATTATTATTATTATTTTTCTTTTTTTCTCAGTCCTCTCAAATTGAGTGAGGTTTGGCTCTAATTTTATGTATATATATGTGTTGTTAAAGTACTATATGTGATTGTACAGTTTCTACACTTAATAAACCTAAATTAAAAAAAAAAAAAAAAAACTAGGTATCGATTGAGATATTTACAGCCCGCGCCCTGCCATGGCCAGCCTACTGGCGGTGGTGGAGGTGAATGGCAGGGGTGGGCAGCCCAGCCAATTGCTCGTTGGACGGCAGCGAGATCGGTCGAGAGCGCAGCCGCCAGCAGGCACCTCACCTAGAAAAAAACCAAAACTGACGCCATTTCAACCTACCTTACTCTTCGCTTAATCAAAATATAAATTCGCATTTGCAACTAAGAATACCTGCACTGACTTAAATAACACACAAAACTATAAATTTAACCGAAAGCCAAAATGCAATAAACTTTATCCAAACTAAAATAGAAAACTTTTAAATAAGCAACTAGCAATTAAACCTCAATTTATTGAAGACCTGCAAACTCATAATCGAACAAAGTAAAACCAAAAGTTACGCCATTTCAACGTACCCTGCTCTTCGTATAACCAAAACATAAAATAGCACTTACAAATAATAATACCCTCACGGATTTAAATAAAACACAAAGCTACAAAAATTAACTTAAAACCAAATGCAATAAGCTTTATTCAAATCAAAAAAAAAAAAAAATTTAAATGAAAAAAAAAAAAAAAAAAAACAAGCAATTAAACCTCGATATATGACAACATGCTGAGCCCTGTTGGATGACCACTGATGGATGACTCTGGTGGATGACCCTGGTGGATGACCCTGGTGGATGATCCTAATGACAGCTGCAGGCATCTGGAAAAGACGAACGCAAAATTATTAATATTTTAAAATATAATATACTTATAAGATATCGAACTATACATAAAATATTCGCTAATTACTAATTTCTTATCTTACCTAATTACCTCTCATCAATTAATATCAGTTTTTTAATATATATATAATAATATAATATTAATATATATCTTTAATATTAATTCACTTCAGATATCGTACTACTCTGAAGAGCTAAGATACTTACTTGCTTTTCGCAATTAAAATCATAAAACTTGATTACAACTATAAGTAAAACTAAACAATTTTTTCTACATATGTCAAAGTCTAAGCTACGGCTGTTAAATATCAGTTTTTTCTAGTTATATCTTTAATATTAATTCACTTCAGATATCGTACTACTCTGAAGAGCTAAGATACTTACTTGCTTTTCGCAACTAAAATCATAAAACTTGATTACAACTATAAGTAAAACTAAACAATTTTTTCTACATATCTTAAATTCTAAGCTACGGCTATTTACTACCTTTAGTACCTTTAGTAATTACTTTAAACATAAGACACTATTCAGCTCAGAAAATGCAAAAACTTTGCCCTGATACTTCACGAAAATTCAATTTACTCATTTTGATCAATATTACAAATTCTTAACCTGTAAATATTTGCTAATAACAAATTTATTATCTTATCTAGTAACCTCTCACTAATTGATATCAGTGTATCTAATTAATATATTAATAATAGTAACTCTTATCATTTATTCTACTCCTATGAAAACGCTAAGATAATCCCTTGTTTTTTGCAATTAAATCATAAAACTTGATTGTTCAATTATTGTTTAAACTAAATAATTTTCTATGTTACTGAAAGAATAAGCAATGGACATTTACTACCATATCCCTTAGTTTTATATTAAGCATGTGATACCATGCAACTCAGAAAATGCAAAGACTTTGTCCTGCTTTTTCACGCTAATTCAAATCATTAACTTTGTTCAATATTTGCTAATATAAATCCTGTTATTACCTTTTAAATCCTACATTTACTAAAATATTATTTTCGGCAAATTTCTTCCTTTATACTTAGTTTGTAAGCTAGTATGTAAGGTGCTATGTTAAATTTCTAAAAAGAGCCATCGTAAGGCACTGAGAAATAAAGAGTCACCTCGCTTCTATCCCCTCCTCTTATAGATGCAGAGCAGCTGTTAAGAACGAGGAGATACAAACAAGGTGCAATTGTGTATGGCAATAGACTATACAAAGTTGAAAACAAGTACTAGACAGTGCCATCTTCAAGCGCTATATGAAAGATACAACTCATTAAAATTTTACTGCTGAATTAAAGACACAAAATAGACAAATTAATACTTACAATCAACAAGCTGCTTGCCGCAAAACCTAAACTAAAACAAAAACAAAACAAAAATATAAATAAATAAATAAAAATAAAAAAAAAAAAAAAAAAAAAAAATAAATAAAAAAATAACTAGATTGGGCAACAGTAATAATTGAACAAAACTGGGAAGCTATGAAATTATACTCTAATAAGGAAAATAAACAAATGCTCTGCAACTTGCCCGCACACCTACAACTATCTAGTGAAATAATATACCGCAGCAAATAACATAATTCGCTATAGCTAACTTATAAAAACAAAAGTATACAATAATCCTCACATCTACAATCTACAAGCCCCTAAATCATAAAGACTGATAATCTATTTGACTACTCCAACATATTGTATTAAAGCAATTATAAATATCTGGCAATATAATACAATATAACTAACTAGTAATTGCAATATAACTAACTAATAATAATATCATAATCAATTAATCAACAATCAGACAAATCAAATAATAAATATATATAGCACACAACAACCAAACACTAAATCTATTGCTTGTACATCAAGATACACCAAAACGCTTACCCACTCACAAGCTCTGTAAGCAGTTTATACTCTCATTAACCTAACACGAACACTTAATACAAACTCATTAAAATTTTACTGTTGAATTAAAGTCACACAATAGTCAAATTAATACTTACAATCAACAAGCTGCTCGCTGCAAAACCTAAACTAAAACAAAAACAAAAAATAAAATAAAAATAAATAAATAAACAAAAATAAAAAATAACTAGACTAGTCAACAGTTCGCAATCAATAATTCTCATCACTTACCTTTAAACTATAAAGCCCCCTAATTGATAAAAACTGGGAAATTATAAATTTATTCTCTAGAAGGAAAATAAACAATCGCTCTCCAACCTAACTGCACACCTATAGCTATCTAATAAATAATACACAGCAACAAACAAATAACATAATTTCACTATAACTAACGAATAATAACAATATTATACAACATTCCTCACAAATACAAACTACAAGCCTCCTAAACGATAAAAACTGGTAAACTATTTGACTACTCCAACATATTAATGCAATTCTAAATATCTAATAATATAATACAATACAACTAACTAGTAATTACACTATAACTAACTAATAATAATAATATAACTAATAAAACAACAATCAGATAAAAAAAAAAAAAAAATCAAACAATAAATATATATAGCACATAACAACCAAACACTAAATCAAACGCTAATACTGAAGACAAGACAAGTCTAAGCAAGGAAAAGAAGCTGACAAAGCAGTCATCTTCAACAAGAAACAAAAGGAAGCAACTTTGATACCCACCCTCGCACGTACTGCTCACAAAAAAATAAATAAATAAATAAATAAATAAATAAAATAAATAAATAAATAAAATAAAATAAAATAAAAATAAGAATTTATAAATTATAAAAGACCTATTAAATAACAACTTAGCTACCTGCGTATAATAAAAAAGCATAATATAATCCAAACATAAACACCTAGTATGAACACATCCTAAAGTACGCTATCTGTCAAAATTCGATAGCCACAAAGGAAACAAATACTCTGCGCCATATATTAAAACTCAAATTACCCCAGGCAAATGCAATCTTAAACTTAAACTACTACACTAAATAACAAGACAAATATTCCTAAAAGACTAAAATACACTAAATGAAACAAAGTCTAAACAAACAATAACTCAGACTAAGGGAAACAAGCAAAACAATAAACTAATGACAATTCTACAAACAAAACAATAACCTAAGAATAACAAATAACCTATTTATATACTATAAAATCAGACTTGGTAACTTTCCACGTCTTATCTGGAAATAAAAAGATTTATAATAATAAAGCCAGTCCTTTTGCTACATATATAAGCACATACTTACCCATCCATCATCAACTTGGCTGTCCTCTCTGGTGCCACCTGCAATGAAACAAATTACATTGAAACAATATAAACAACTTTAAACTATAACACAGTACTCACCAAACAATAATTAACTCCTGAATCCTAATAAATTGAAACTACTTACCAAACGAATCCAACCACCACATAAGAACAAAGCTGAAAATACACAAAATGTTTAAAATTCGATAACGATAAAATTGTACAAAATACTAAAACTCGATTATGATAAAGTAAGCAACCCTACTCAAAGATAAATTGACGCGCAAGCTACGCTAGCACACGCAAATTTAACAAATACCGCGCGAACACAAATAATTCTACGATCCAATAAAATAAATCATCGCAATACATGCAGTTAAACTACTCCAATAAATAAATCACCGCAATACATGCAGTTGAACTACTCCTGCCGACAACTTTTAATGATACTTAATATAATAAATATGCAAGTAAACGATGAAAACAAATATGTACTTACCAATCTTACAACATGGCCGCCTCAACTAATGCCTGCTGCAAAGAAAGTCTAAAAACACAAGCAACAAAACTAAACGGGCTAAACTTCTACTTATATATGCAACACTCGCAACAAAACTTTCTAATAAAAGTGCAAAACCCTAAGTAAAAACAAAATAAATACGCTTAACAACCATAATTATAAATAAATAATCGACTTAACAAAGCAAATAATAAAAACACTTAACAATAAATTAATAAATAAAAAACAAATGTTAAAATGGATAAACAAAACAGATAAATAAACTTATAACTAATACACGATATTTCAATAATATACCCACCTCGCTATACACGCTACTGAGTGAATCTTGCAGTCAAATCTAACAAACAAAAAATAAATAAATAATAATAATAAAAAAGTTAAAGCCCATAGCAAGCTAATAATAAATTAATATTCTTACTAATAAAACCAACAATAAATAAAAATCTCAAAAAGATCAAGCAAAGCAAATAAATAAACTAGCAAACAATCACGATATAAGAAATTCTAAATAAAGACGAATACTACGGAAAGAAACAAAGTAAGCAAAAGCCAGAAAATAAAGGGTGCCTATGAATAAATAGCAAGTCTCAGACTAGCCTCTCTCCTGGATCCACGGAGTACTTACAACCTGGACATAGCTACAAATAAGAGCATCGACAGCAGCGCCTTCGTCTGTCTTCCCCTCCGGGCCACTGAAGACTGGATGACAGCGACTGATGACGCCCCTAGAGTTATCAAATCAACAATACAACTAACAAACCAGCTAAATGTAATTATATTTAAGAATAGTAATCCAAATTAAATTTAAAGCATAGTAATCCGAATTGAATTTAAAGAATAGTAATCTAAATTGAATTTAATGAAGAAAATCTGACTTAGTCTTTACTCTTCCCCACCAAATTAAATCTTTATAAATAAATATAACTTTACTAGATAGATATATATATGTATATAAAAAAAGAAAACACTCATTTATTTGTAAAATTCAAACTTTAGTAATAAACACTTATATTAAGTTTCGCCTACTACTAGCTTATAATACTTACCACATAAGTGAATTGTAAATAAGCTGCCAACTAATTTCTAGAAAGTACTAACGCAAAGCACTGAGAAATGAATAAAGACACCCTGTTCCCTCTTCTCTCACCTTTACGCTGCTGGGCAGCCTAAAGCTTGAGGCGAGAAAAAGCAGGGCAATTGTGTATGTGATTCCCTCGCATGCAGGCTGAACAAAAGAATCGATAATTGATAATCGATAGCATAGTTGAGCGCCAATTTATTCCAAATTCAAATACTCGGTATATATTAGAGATACACATTGCTGATGCAAATTGACTGTTGCAGCGTCAGTCCTTTTTTCAGCCATCTGCCGGCTGTTGCATCATCTAACTCACTCTCTCTTTTCCATAGAGGGAGCTTGTTATTTGATGCAACTGGAGGCTGGAATTGGCTGAATTTAGGGAATGAAAGTTCTTTGAAAGTTCTATGGTGGAGGCGCTGGGCAGTCTTGCTCCGAGAATAGTCTGCAGATGAGCGGCTTGAAGGCGACACGCGATCCGCGAACCGATCAGTGGCGGCCGACAGCCGACGGCCGACGGCAGACGCCCACCTCTGGATGTCCAAGAATCTAGACTGGCTAGACAGAGAGTAGACAGTAGACAAATATTCAAAAAAAAAAAAAAAAAAAAAACTATTTAACAAAAAAAAAAAAAATTTTTTTTCCAAATCAAAAAGAAAACAAGTAAGAACGTTGCAGTCGGGCGATACCGATTGCAGAAGACTCATTCACAGCCCAAACGCTGTCAACCAGAGTATATAGTGCAATTTTCAAGTCTAGTGCGCAGCAAAAAACACGGCATTTTGCCATTAAAATTGGAAAATCATCGATAGCTATTGCATTCAAATTACATACATATATAATTTATACAATTTTGATTTTTATTATATATGTATTTATATCCATACATGGATACCGGCTTCAAGCTAACAGCAGATCAGCGCGATTTTCCTATGCTTGTGCACACACTCATCGTCTATTCTATGCTTACAGACAGAAGCGCGCCTTTTCTCACATTCTTAGAATTTCGATTGATTTCTGGACTTTCTAGCCGTTACTGTAGTTTTGTCTGATGACGCTCTCTTATTAAGCTATTCTATTTTAGCAACTGATTCCTCGATCAAAGCAGTGGCGCGGGTGCTAAGGGCGACACAAGTAATGTTAGAGTAGGGGAGGTTCGAACCTCTACTATGTTATTATTATTTTTTTTTTCATACATATTTCGTTTTTTATAAAATAGATATTTTATTGGGAAGGTGCGAGCTTGACTGAATGCCACTTAATACTTTTCATTTTCTTAGTCGAATAATTTTATAAGTTTAAATTTGTTCTTCTTAAATAGCCCTCAAATACATATACGCAAATACATACATATGTATATATAATTATATATGTTTGCCTGCGCGCATAGCATCAAGCATTCCAGCCTTATACACGCGTTCATTTGTATGTGTGCATGTATGTACACATAAATGCGTGCTCTAGTATATTCTAAGAATCCCGTTGCGATTGATTTGTCTTTGCATTGTTTTTGAATTTCCAGCCGCTACACTGGCTTTTCTTTGCTATGTGGCGTCATAACAATAATGTGATTTCGTTTTAACTACTATTGATCGAAACGACGCGGTGGTGCTGTAGGCTGAAGCGCCGGCGATCTTTATTTTAGCTATTTTGACAAACATGCTGTTTGGGTTGGGTGCGAGTTCAAATCCCGCTGAAAACATTTTTTTGTAAATTGCAAATTTTTGTTATTTTAGCTTTTTTATATTTTATTAATTTTATAAAAATGTTTCCTTCCGTGCTATCAATGCCTATAAGCCTACTTATGTGTACATATACATAAATAGATGACTGACGCATATAAATGTCGCGATTCGGGCACTGTAAATGCCGATTGCCACGCCCCTAGTGGCCGTCGGCTCCTCAATTTTAGCCAGTTCTTAGAACGAGCAACCGGTTACCTAAATGCAAAATTTGAATTCTTACGCTCAAAAAATGTGAAAATTACAGGGTATTTTTCGATATGCCACGCCCCTAAAGAGGCTTAAAAATTATTTTTGGGGCATCGATAGAGGAGGCCACCAGTAACTTAACTATCTAAATTTGAATCTAGCTCTTAAACTGTAGGCGATATAAACTTTTGCGGTTTGCCACGCCCCCTATAGGCGGACATATATCTACCATAGCTCGTTGGACTTGGGTGATCAACCCGCGTATATATACCAAATTTCAGATCTCTAGCATCAATAGTGCCTAAAATATAGCAGAATTCGAAAAATCACTATATCTTCAGGTCCGATTTGCCACGCCCCTAGTGGGCGTAGATATATAATTTTTTCACCCATCTTCATAGAATTAAAACATTAGCTTACGTGCAAAATTTCAGCATTCTAAGTTTATAACTTTAGGAGATACAGTTTTGTCCGATTTGCCACGCCCCTAATAGGCGGAGATATATCCGCCATAGCTTGTGATCTTGGGTGGTCGGCGCGGACCTACATACCAAATTTCAGCTTTCTAGCTCTTCAACAAACATGATTTCTGGTATATCGGAAAATGCATTTTCCGATTTGCCACGCCCCTAGTGGGCGGATCGGGAAAATTTTAACACTTTATAAATTGGAGATATACACGAGTATGTGTTCCAAATTTCAAGTCTCTAGCTTCAATAGCGCCGAAATAGATTGCGTTCATACGGACAGACGGACAGACGGACGGACAGCAAGACGGACATTGCACAAAACCAATATACTCATTTCACTTTCGTGAATGAGTCTAAATATTTCAAATCAAAAATCTGCAAAAATTCAAAAAAATCAAAAGATTAAAACCTGACTGTTCAAAAAATAAATGAAAAATTCAAAATTCCAAATTCCAAAAAATAAAAAAAAAAAAGTTAATTATTAAAAATTGTATTTTTGGCTTTTTATATTTTTGGACTTTTATACTTTATAAATACTTCAATTCAAAAATCTGCAAAAATTAAAAAAAAATCAAAAGATTAAAACCTGTCAAATCAAAAATCAATAAAAAAAATTGAAAATTCGAAATTAAAAAAAAAAAAAAGTTAATTATTAAAAAGTGTATTTTTGGCTTTTTATATTTTTGGACTTTTAAACTTTATAAATAATAATTGTGCGTGTGCGTACAAAAGCTAAATATCTCGAAAGCTCAGGTATTTGTTTGTCTCAAACATAAATTTGTGTAAATTATTTATATTTATATTTCTCGATTGTTTTATGTGGTTTTGTGCGAGGGCATATTCAGTGTTACTATTGATAAAAATGCCGCGTCCTAGAAGATCTAATCTTTCCCGGCGGACCCATAATGCAATTAGGCATCGGAATATCGCGAGTCAATTATCTGACGAAGAACGAGAGATCGCCCGAGAAAGGCGCCGCGTTAGTACCCAGCAAAGAAGGGCCTTAATTCGTGCTTCTCAAAGAGAGGCAGCCCGTGAAATGGCAATAAGAAATGGTTCAAGGATTGATTTGAATCGAGAAGCGTTTCGATATGATTGCACCATTGACTATAGCTTGAATCGTTTAGTTTGCGTTGGTCCAATGGACGTTGTTTGCCAGCATTGTGGCGCATTGAAGTTTGCTGGTGAAACGCCCGGTTTGTGCTGCCTTAGTGGTAAAGTGACATTGCCATTAGTGGTCCCGCCACCAGAGCCATTGCGTTCCCTGCTTTATGGCGAAACACTAGAATCACGACATTTTCTAGCGAACACTCAAAAATACAATGCCTGTTTCCAAATGACTTCATTTGGGGCGGAAATTATTGGTGACAGATATAATTCGACATTTAAGGTAATTTACGTTAAAAATTTTATTTTCTATGACTGTCAAAAAAAAAAAAATTTGGAATAATGTTTGTTAGATTTCTGTAAAAAGTGTTTGTAAATCTAACTATAACTATGGCTTTGAATTTAAAGATTCAAGGCCAGATTTGCCATCGCATTGGATCGTTGCAACCTATTGAAGATGCACAGCACAAATTCTTGCAAATATACTTCATGGGCAATATGGAAGAACAACTTGACCGGCGTCAAGAAATCAACACAGCTATGAAAAGAGCAATTCTCCAAGATTTGCATGCTTAGAAATTTAAACCAACCAAAACTGTGCAATGGAACGCGTTTGGTGATAAGAAAACTGATGAGCAATGTGATTCACGCGTCGATACTCAAAGGAAAATTTAAAGATGAAGTTCTTATTCCTAGGATTCCGATGATCTCAACAGATATGCCCTTTGAATTTAAACGAATTCAATTTCCGCTTCGTCTTGCCTTCGCCATGACGATCAACAAGTCACAGGGCCAATCTTTGACTATTTGTGGCCTCAATCTAGAAAATGCGTGTTTTTCTCATGGCCAATTGTACGTGGCATGCTCACGTGTTGGCAAACCATCCGCATTAATTGTTCTTGCACCCGACCAAAAAACGAAGAATGTCGTTTACCACAAGGTGCTTGAATGAAAATCCGATTAATAAATTAATCAGAGTGTATCCCAACCTGAACAACATAGCTTTCAACAATTTTTTACCTAGAAATAATATAGAGGGCAATGCAACGTTTGCCGGGCCAGCTAGTTATTAATATTTAAATTTACCAATTAGCAGCATCAAATTTGCATTCAATCAGCTGTTTTTGTTTTGTTTTGATTATGCACTCCAATAGGCATTAAGCCAGGGGTGCATCGTCACTTACTCAATTGCACTTGCGATATATCGAATGAATATTAATGAAATCAAAACTGCTAAAATGAATTGTTAAACTATTTTTATTTAATTATCTATATTAATTATCATAAACATTTTGTAATTTAAGTTAATTTTAGCTTAAGCCCATGTTGGAGAAAATGACCAGACTTTATCTCGACTTTTCTCTGTTATTCCAATTGGCCACTTTGGGCTATTTTCTCTGTGCATCTTGTAGATGCTTTTTAATGAAAAAATTGAATTATATTAATTAATGCCATCTATTACTATTGTTAAACTTATATCTTACTCATCTAATTAGTCTATTATAAGCTACTCAAGCACTTTATTGTTATATTGAATTATCTTTAATTTGCTCTTTTTATTAGTATTTTGTAACATTAAGCTTATTATATTTGTGCACTTATGGCCATTTAAATTTAATCATTTAATGAAAAATTTCGACAAATATAGTCCTTTTTAGATTTTAATTATCTCATAGGCGCTATTTATATTCATAAGAAATGCTATTGTGAAGTATTAATTGAATAAAAAGTATCTCCATACTATCTTCCCCTCGCCTTGCAGCTGCTGGTCAGCTGATCATGTATGAGATGGGAAGAAGCGGAGATCATCAATGTATGTTCTTCATAGACATACGAACAGAAAAACCACCATTCTACAAACACCAACTCAGACATCACTATTTTCCCATTCATTGTTTTGTAAACAAAGAAGAAAGTTGCCATATTGTCTCTAGAAATAATTCTGTTAACAGGCAAGGTGCCACCCTGCCCTATTAATTAAAATAACATTAAGATAATAGGCAATGTTGCCACCTAGTCTTAAGTCTATAACATTTGCATATGTTGCTCAAAAAGTAATGACGCAAATAAAGAAGGCGAGCTGCGGCTAACATTAGTCGCCAGCAAGCCCCCATAGTGTACAGAAGTACACAAACTTTAAAACAACATATACATTACCTTCTGTTAACACCAACGCGTGCATCGCAGGCTGCAGCGTGTTTCTTCATTTCGCAACAACAATACGTCTCAAGCAGCACACACATATAACTACACCAACTTCACCTCTCCAAGCCCGGACACCACCATTCTACATTTCATGCATCTCCTATAACTGGATTGAGTGGCTTGCATTTGGGTTAGATTGTCCTGACTGTGCTCAAGCATATGCAACCACAATTTATTGTGTGCCAGCATCCCTGCCTACACAGCTAGTCAGTGCGCTTTCTGGCTAGAATGTACTGCCGCCTTAATGCGTTGCTCTACACCCGTTGCAGCAAATACATCTTCACCAAGCTATCACTCGCTAACACTTCTGGATCCATGGATTTTAAGTCATACTACAACTCAGCTATCTAATATATAAGTTAACATAAACATAGCATAAGCATATTTCTCTCTCACTTGCCGACGCTTGTGACATGGTGCCGACGAAACAGTATTGAATTCAGCGCCCTGACCACAGCGGACAGCAACAGTAATCTGACACCTTACATTAGTGTGGGTGTGTCAGCATCACTTTCGAGCAAATCGGCACGCCGATTCGCTGTCCCACACTTTAGTTTTTAGTTCTGTTTTGTATTCACGAGAAAACGTCACGATAAAATTCATTACTCCGGCACCAGCCGTAAATTAAAAGTCTTTTATTCTCTCAGCCTAAGCGAGAGATAACGGGGAAAATAACGTATTTGGCGCCCAACGTAATAAAAGTACTCACGAGAACCCTCTCAATTAATAAGTGCATGTGTTAAACACACTTAACAACCAAAACCAAAGTGCAACTTTAAAAATAAATTGACAAGAAACATCTTGCTTGTGGATTCCAGCCGAATCAGCTATTTTGTAGCTAGATCTGGCTACTTTTTAAGGCCGATTGCTACAAAAATTTTCAAACAGCTATTAGCTACAAATCTGGCTATTTTCAAATATTAAATTTAGCTAAAATGCAAGCGAACTTATAACAAAATTCGCTTCGATAATTTTTAAATGTAAATGATTTAAATGTACTGAGCTTTGTGTAGAATTAATACTACAACTGAAGAATAGGTAAGCTTTCTAATATGCTATGCAAAATTCATTTCTTATCAGTTTTTATACCCTGACCCATTGACGCCATCATTTTGTAAAAAACGCATTTCAAGTACTAGAGACTTGTGCTTTGGAATGTATACACATTTTAGCCATATGATCACGTTTTGAAAGTTTCATTAAGATTGTATGTCTACAAAACATATGGATTACGCCGATATGGCAAATGTTTCTATGAGTATAGCGTTCCACCCAACTACCTTAAAAAGGCAAATTATAAAAGCGACAAAGGTGAAAATGACGAGCTGGTGGTCATAGATGAGATATTATCAGAATTAAATTAATAAAGTTGACTTTTTATGAAAAAAAAAACAGCATTGTTTTCTTTTTTGCTACTTTTTCAGCTATTTTAGAAGAAAGTTGGCTACTTCTAGCTACTTTCAGCCTTCGGTTTTGCTACTTTTGCTGAAAAAGTTTCGGCAACACTGTTGTGGAAGTGAAGAGCACGTGCGAACTCAGCAAACTCCGCAAAAGCAATCGTAAAAAAAAAAACTCTCAGCGAATAACCAAAACTTTCACAAAGCTCAAGCAAGTGCATACACCAAAGGTTTAAAACCAAAATATTTATCAAGTGCACTCACCAAAGGTTCGACACCACACTAACTATCAAGTACGCACACCAAAGGTTTAAAACCAAAATATATATCAAGTGCACTCACCAAAGGTTCGACACCACACTAACTATCAAGTACATAAACCAGAGGTTCAAAACCAGAATAATTATCAAAGGCACACACCAAAGGTGCGGCACTAAGCTAACTATCAAGTGCATACACCAACGGTGCGAAACTAAAAATCAAAAGCAAATTTCCGCACCAAAGTGCGAAAGCAAAAACTCATTCTGTCACAGCACCGGACCGGTGTTGGCAGCGTTTGTCACGTAATCGGACCGATTACGGCAGCGTAGCAAATTAAAGCAAGCAATCCACTCAGAAGACTACGACGACGTCAGCAGAGAGCCGGAAACACCAGGAACAGTCAAGCGCCCCTTCAAATAAACATGTAAGTGGCGTGCTCAGTTAATTCACTCCAGATAAAAAAAAAAAAAAAAAAAATGAAAAGGAAAATAAATGAAAAGAAAAAAAAAAAAAATAAATAAATAAAAAAAAAAATTAAAAAAAATGAATGAAAAGAAAAAAAAAAAAAAATAAAAAAAAAAATGAAAAAGAAATAAATGAAAAGGAAAACAAAAAAAAACATCTAGAATTAGTCACTTCTCGCCGGACAGGCCCCTCGTCGTGTCCCTACTTCTTATTACGGTTGCTAAAGCTCGGATCACCGACTACCCCCACTCACGAAACACGAAATTGACACGCCCCGCTTGTATAAAGCTCTTCTAGCTAGGAACAGGATGCTTATAACAGAGATTCAAAATTTAATGCTCACAGTAACGCTGGCGAGGTCAAACATAATAAATCCCACAATATTTGATAGTCAAGATTTGGAGTCAATATTAACTGAGCACCCCACATCTGTCCCCATTGTCTGTCTGATGGAAACTTCCAACATAAGGGTACTACAGTCCGATCACATAATCATAGATTATCCCATGATTAAGTCTATATGTAAGAAGGTCAGCATTTTCCCGGTCTCGCACGAACACATCGTGCTACAGCTGGATGCCGACACCGTAGCGGAGTGTGACAACGAGGCACTGGCGGTCACTAGCTGCGCAGCAACAACATGTGCGCCCTTCTGCAAGCTGGCGGTACATGACACTTGCGCCCGTGGACTACATTCGGGATCCGTGGCACTCTGCCGCACACAACCCAGCCACTTGGAGACTGTCACCCAAGTAGACGACGGCGTTCTGACCATAAACGAAAGCCCGGCCCAAGTGACCACGGACGACGGCCCAACAATATCAGTAAACGGCACCTTCCCCGTCACTTTCGAAACGTCGGCCATAATCAACGGGACCAAGTACGTGAACCAGAGCGAAGCCCTTAGCAAGAAACCAGGCATCGCCGTGTCACCTCTTCTCAACGTGATCAGCCACGACCCAGTCCTCAGCATGCCACACCGTCAGAGGATGAATCACCACAACCTGCAAGTCTGGAGGAGAAGACGAGCCTCGCACGAGATCCAGGGGGGGATTGAAAATTTTAGTTTGAACGAGGTCGGTCAAAATCTTAAGGGGAGAGTAGTTAACATAAGCATAGCATAAGCATATTTCTCTCTCACTTGCCGACGCTTGTGACATGGTGCCGACGAAACAGTATTGAATTCAGCGCCCTGACCACAGCGGACAGCAACAGTAATCTGACACCTTACATTAGTGTGGGTGTGTCAGCATCACTTTCGAGCAAATCGGCACGCCGATTCGCAGTCCCACACTTTAGTTTTTAGTTCTGTTTTGTATTCACGAGAAAACGTCACGATAAAATTCATTACTCCGGCACCAGCCGTAAATTAAAAGTCTTTTATTCTCACAGCCTAAGCGAGAGATAACGGGGAAAATAACTTATTTTATATACACCTCATCTTCAACACGCTTTAATCAGCACACACTTCACACATCAATTAACACTTCGTAACTCTTCTGCCAACCTGGTTACTCGCCACCACAACTTCGTCTATCATCTATATATGTTCTCAGCAGCCATCTTTAACACAATCACTCCCTCAGCCCGGACTTGAAACTCCAAATCACCAAAGTTATCATCATAGGAAACCACTCTTCATCAATTTATATCATCATATTTTCCCATTCATTGTTTTGCAAACAAAGAAGAAAGTTGCCATATTGTCTCTAGAAATAATTCTGTTAACAGGCAAGGTTGCCACCCTGCCCTATTAATTAAAATAACATTAAGATAATAGGCAATGTTGCCACCTAGTCTTAAGTCTATAACATTTGCCACTGACCAAACAACACATAGACAAGACATGTAGAGCAACGTTTATCCACGCCGCAATATCTGTCTAGCAAGTCACGGCCAACTTCGTATTCGCTCGGCTTGGTATTGGATGGCTCGGGTAATGAAAGATAGCACGACGCAGTGTTGCCATTTTAGCCTATTTAAGGCTATATCTAGCCTATTTCAAAATGAAATAGCCTGGAAAAATGTCAAAATGCCTATAGCCATAAATGTAGCCTTTTTATACCCTGAACCCATTTTCAACGGGAAATCAGGGTATAATGGTCTGTCTGTCCGTCTGTCCCTCTGTCCGTCCGTCCGTCTGTCCGTATGTATGAACGCGTCGATTTCAGAAGATATAAGAGCTAGAGACTTCAAATTTTTTTTTAAATGTTCGTAATTACAGCGCGCATATCAAGTTTATCATTAAAAATCGATACCTCATCCCGATCTTTTTTATCGATAAAAAAACCTTATCGAAAACCAGTTTTAAAATTTATCTTCTACACCTTTATTGCTAGAGTCTCCAAATTTTTAATGTATGCCTATATGCAATTTATACAATTTCGGTTTTTGTTAAAATTTACCCCCCGCCCTTAAATTCACCCCCTCACCCTCACTTTTGTAAAAAGCGTATTTCAAATACTAGAGACTTGTGCTTTGGCAATTACATGCATATCCATGTCATAATCATAATCTGAAAGTTTCATGAAGATCGTACGTCCACAAAAAAGTTATAAAGCAATTAAGTTCTCATAGTAGCGCTCACTGCCGCCCATGTGTGTTTATGCTTGTGTGTGTATATGTATGTAATTGTTTGTGTATGTGTGTGTGTGTGTATGTGTGTGTGTATGTGTGTGTATGTATGCCTGTGTGTGCGTGTTTTTTGTGTAAGCTGAAAGACGCGAAAAATTATTGAAATAGCTATTACTCCAAGGGTTCAGGGGATCTCGTAGTCGAGTAGTCTCGACTAGAGCTTTCTTACTTGTTTATATTTTGGTTTTGTTATTTTTACCATTTTATATTATTTGATTATCTATAGAAGCAAAGCGAACCAAACTAAACTTTTTGTAGGACCTTTTTGTTTAATATGGTATTTACCATAATATACCATGGTAAATACCATAAATTAATTCTGAAATACCATACCATTCGTATTAATATATGGTATATTTTTGTTGAAAAGTTTTGGTCACATTTTGATTCGTTGATCGCGCTCAAAATTGTGAAATTGTGAAATTGCTACATTTGCAATGGAAATTTTATCACTTCCGTGGTCAAATGCTGCAATTGAACGAGTTTTTAGCCAAATGAATATACAAAATTTACAAACTACTAAATCCAGAGACAATTAGCTTGCCATCCCATACAAGCATACACATACACAAAAGTATGTATGCATGTGCTCACTTCACAAGGCAGACCAACGGCACACAAATGCTCATACATGTAGCAAGGGACTACAAGTGTGTGTGTGCATGTCCGTCGCGAGATCATATTCTTTATGCGCCTCAACGCATTCATACCCTTCCCATAAATATATATCGAAACGCTAACATTTTGTTTGCATGAATGTCGCAAACGATTTTAAGATTTCGGTATACTCTTCACTCAAAAGGAAAGAGCTGGGATCGTCGCGAAGAAATTTCAATTTTTGTGCGCTGCTGAGCTTCATGATTTGAGAGCCCACAGAGAGAGAACGAGAGAGTTAGAGAGAGAGAGGGAGAGTAAGACAAGAAACGCAAAGCGCATACATGACCATTTCGTTTGCGTGCTTAGAGCGCACTGATTTCGTCGTGCTATATTTCATTACCCGAGCCATCCAATACCAAGCCGAGCGACTTGCTAGACAGATATTGCGGCGTGGAAAAACGTTGCTCTACATGTCTAGTCTATGTGTTGTTTGGTCAGTGAATTTGCATATGTTGCTCAAAAAGTAATGACGCAAATAAAGAAGGCGGGCTGCGGCTAACATTAGTCGCCAGCAAGCCCCCATAGTGTACAGATGTGCACAAACTTTAAAAATCCCAATCCTGAGGCAAGACGAATTGGTAACTACCCGTGCATTCCGCAACGGCTGAAGTGGAAGTCAGTCAGTCTACGGCACAGCCTCGAGCAGACCTGACTATGACAAAAAAAAAAAAAAAAAAAAAAAAAAAAAAGCTACTTTGGGCTAATTTCTCAGTGCATCTTGCAGATGCTTATTAATGGAAAAAGAAAATTGAATTTTATTAATTAATGTTATCTATTACTATTGTAAAACTTATATCTTAGTTATCAAATTAGTCTATTATCAGCTACTCAAGCACTTTATTGTCATTTTCTATTATCTTTAAATTGCTCTTTTTATCTGTATTTTGTAACATTAAGCTGCAGTGTTATTTTTGTGCACTTATGGCCATTTAAATATGTTCATTTATGAAAAGTTTTGGTAAATATTGACCTTCTGTATATCTTATAGGCGCTACTCATATTCTTAAGAAACGCTATTGTAAAGTATTGTTTGAATAAAAAAATATCTCCGTACTATCTTCCCCTCGCCATGCAGCTGCTGGTCAGCTGATCATGTATGAGATGGGAAGAAGCGGAGATCTTTAATGTGTGTTCTCTGGTAACATACGAACAGAAAAAAAAAGCGTTTGCCATCGACAGGATGCCGGAGCCGGTGTGCTTCAGGCGGAAGTTCTCATCGGGGAACTTGTTGCCATAGATGAACTTGCCGCCAGTGCCATTGTGGTTGGTGAAATCGCCGCCCTGGCACATGAAGTTTGGAATGACGCGATGGAAACTAGAGCCCTTGTAGCCAAAGCCCTTCTTGCCGGTGCACAGAGCACGGAAATTCTCCGCTGTCTTCGGCACGATGTCAGAGCGCAGCTCCATTACTATCCTACCGACGGGCTCGCCATCGGCGGTCATATCGAAGAATACTCGCGGTAAAGTACTCATTTTGGACTGCTTCGAATATTCGCGAACAAACTGAATTCCAAATTGCAACTATGTATATACAAGGGAATATGGCGGATCAGAAGTGCCAGTGAGATATTAATGTACTATTTTACGGAAGTATGGGATACTTATCTCGACGGCCGTTGGAATGCTGATTTGATGGATGTGGATGAATAATCCGGCTCGAAAGACCAAATGTTGCAGTGGTGGCGTCTAGATAGAAACACTTGGCGTATGGTTTTTAAAATTATTTATTTTGTGCCTTGAAAGATGGCGATGTAATTTGTACACATGTCAAAAGGGAGTTGAAAAGTCAGAGACTAAAGCCCAGGAGAGGCAAGTGACGAGAGCCAACGGTTGTACTATTAACAGAACGCTGTTAATTAACATCAACAGAGTGCTGTTAATAACACAGCCGGGCTATGTGGGGGAGGAGCAATCCTGTTAATGGGATCTGGCATTAACAACCCACGATTGAGTGATAGTAGGTTATGCAAAGCGAACAGCTGATTTGACAGCGTGACGTCATTATTTCAGAAAATGGTGGGCGCGCGTTTGAATTTGTATGAAAATCAAGCAACTTTGACACTGTTATTTGTCTTAAAACTAGTAGACTAAATAAAACGAGTTGGGCGGCTAATCACATGTTCTATATAGATTCATGAATCGGAAAAAATAAAGGTTTTTGCTAATTTTTATACTCTAAATTGTTTTCTAAGCAGTTATTGATCATGCAATCCCTTGACCACTTTTACTCTTGCATGTAATGGACTTAACCTTACTATCTAAGGCTTGAATTTGTAAAGCTAAAAAGTTACTACTAAGTATTATGCATTTCCCATCAATCCGCATAATCATACGTACTAATTTCATTCTTTATATTACAAATCCGATGGCCATAGATGATACGCAGCATTGTTAGCTTCTGTCTAAGTTTTAAGAGCTGATTCAGGACGATTATGTGTTTCCTTAGGTTTCAATACTTATAATCATACAAGTTTACGACTTGGCAATTAATACACAAATATTAGTTCATTCTACCGGATGTTTCTGACATGACAGCAGGGGTGAGCAGCACCTTTATTGATGCAGCTTCAACGTGTACTATATTTAAATGTGTAGGTAAATTGGCATAAATAAGCAATACTGATGGCGAAAACCCAGTTAACTATGTCCATCAACCATTCCTACTGACTTATTGGCCATTTTTGCTGCATTCAAGAGGCCTCACTGTTCATTCCATTCCATTATGTACTTAATTTCTTTATTGTATGGTAATAATATTAGTGATTGACCATTTTTAAGGTATTTACTATTGAAATTTCCTTATATATAGTTAATTTTGGTTGTTTTCGACGACTTAGTCGATCTCTGCTGAAATGCCTTCCAAGCTTCAGCCGGAATAACATAGCAAAATCTGATAATGTGACGTCACAAGAGAGCTGTTAGTTAACATTAAAAGTAACGGGACTGCTCTTTGCGCAACCTACTGTGTCTTTTAACAGTGTTAACAACCACTATATGTTAGAGATGGAAGTATTGCAGAACTAGTGATGTGAGCTTAGGTGTGTGGCAAATCGGAAAATGCCAGAAATCATATTAGCTGAAGAGCTAGAAAGCTGAAATGGAATGTAGATCCGCGTCAACCACCCAAGATCACGAGCTATGGCGGATATATCTCCGCCGCAAAAGCTTATATCTCCTAGAGTATCATAGCTAGAAGCTTCCAGTTTGGATAGTTAAGTTACTAGTAACCTTCTCTATGGATGAGCCAAAACATTTTACGCCTCTTTGGGGGCGTGGCATACCCTGTAATTTTCACATTTTTGAGCGTAAGCATTCAAATTTTCCAGTTAGTACCGTTTGCTCGTTCTAAGAACTGACTAAAAATGAAATGTTTACGCCCAGTAGGAGCGTGGCAAACCGGAAAAAAATGAATTTTCTACAATACTTAGCTACTTTTTTGGTGATGGGATGTGAATGAGTATTCCGAAGTTGGTAACTCCCGACTGCAACGTTCGTACTTGTTATACCCTGAACCCATTTTCAATGGGAAATCAGGGTATAATATTTTTGTTAAATGTATGTAATAGGCAAAAGGAGGCGTGGCAGACCCCATAAAGTATATATATTCTTGATCAGGGCGACGAGCTGAGTCGATTTAGCCGTATGTTTGTCCGTATGTTTGAACGCGTCGATCTCAGAAGATATAAGAGCTCGAGACTTGAAATTTTTTCCTAGGTCCGTGTATAGCACGCGTACATCAAGTTTTGCGTTAAATACCGATAACTTTCCCCGTTATTTTGTTATCGATTAAAAACCTTATCGAAAACCAGTAAACATCTTTAAGCTAATTTTTTATGTTTACTTATATCACTAACCAGAGAACACATAGACTAGCCATGTAGAACAAACTTTTTCAACACCGAAAAAATGCGCTGAAGAGACCGGACAACTTCGTATTTGGTCGGCTCGGTCTTCTGAGGCTAAAGCAGTAATAATAAGGCACGACAAAATCAGTGTGCCAGGGCTGCCAGTTTAGCAATTTAGTTGCTAAATTTAGCCACTTTTTTAAATATTTGCAACTTTTTTTATACCCTGAACCCATTTTCAATTGGAAATCAGGGTATAATGGTTTTGTTGAAATGTATGTAACAGACAGAAGGTGGCGTGGCAGACCCCATAAAGTATATATATTCTTGATCAGGGCGACGAGCTGAGTTGATTTGGCCCTGTCCGTCTGTCTGTCCGTCTGTCCGTCTGTCCGTATGTATGAACGCGTCGATTTCAGAAGATATAAGAGCTAGAGACTTCAATTTTTTTTTTAAATGTTCGTAATTACAGCGCGCATATCAAGTTTATCATTAAAAATCGATAACTCATCCCGATCTTTTTTTATCGATAAAAAAACCTTATCGAAAACCAGTTATAAAATTATATCTTCTACACCTTTATTGCTAGAGTCTCCAAATTTTTAATGTATGCCTATATGCAATTTATACAATTTCGGTTTTTGTTAAAATTTACCCCCCACCTCTAAATTCACCCCCTCACCCCACTTTCATGATGATCGTACGTCCACAAAAAAGTTATTAAGCAATTAAGTTCTCATAGTAAGCGCTCACTGCCGCCCATGCGTGTTTATGCTTGTGTGTGTGTATATGTATGTAATTGTTTGTGTATGTGTGTGTGTGTGTGTGTGTGTATGTGTGTATGTATGTGTGTGTATGTGTATGTATGCCTGTGTGTGCGTGCGTGCGTGCGCGTGTGTGTGTGTGTGTGCGTGTTTCTTGTGTAAGCTGTAAGACGCGAAAAACTATTGAAATAGCTATTGCTCCAAGGGTTCAGGGGATCTCGTAGTCGAGTAGTCTCGACTAGAGCTTTCTTACTTGTTTTTAAATGCTATTAGCTATAAATCTAGCAATTTTAAATATTGTTTTAGCAGTTATGTGTGGAGCAGTTTTCAGCTTGCAAAGCTGCTGCAAACATCAAATTAGGTCGAACAAAATGCACCTACATTATTAAAAATGTACTCGCAGTGCATTTCATGGACGACTTGCGAGCCGACATCGGAAACTCAACTTTTAGTCTTCTGTTGGACGAGTCCACTGACATTAGTGTGCAAAAAAAATTAAACTTCGATCATTTTAACAGATATGGACTACAAAGACACGGAAAATGTTGCCATAATTATTATCTACCATATGAGTACTTGACCCAAATTAGTGGCAATGAGAAGTACACCGATTTATGTGAAGAAGCTTACGAACTAGATAGTATTTTAAGTATTTTGTAGTTAAATGTAAATATAATAGTATATAATTTAAGACCATGTTCCTTATTAATATTTTTGCATTTGCGCAGTTAGCAGAGCGCGTGCTTATAAGTGCATGTGTGTGTATGTGTACATAGAAGAAGTGCAGAATGATTAGAATATCAGCTTGGAGGGTTCAGGGTATCTCCCAGTCGAGCAGTCTCGACTAGAGCCTTCTTACTTGTTATTTTTGTATATCTGAGCTTGTTATAAATTAAAATAATGGGTTTAGCAATTTTTTCGGCAATTTAAAAAAAATTTTTAGCAATTTTTGCCAACTTTTTTCCCCAAATCTAGCAATTTTTGCTTGGTATATTCTGGCATCACTGCAGTGTGCTGCGACTGCTGCCACGAAATGCACGCATTACCAAGTGAAGCACGGCTATGCGCTCTTTTTCCCTTATTCACTCTCTCCCTCTCTTTATCCTCTCTCTCTATGGTCTCTCGAATAGCAGCAGCGCACAAAAATTGAAAATTGTTCGCGACGATCTCAGCTATCTAGTTCGTCAGCTTCTTCACATAAATCGGTGTACTTCTCATTGCCACTAATTTGAGTCAAGTACTCATATGGTAGATAATAATTATGGCAACATTTTCCGTGTCTTGGTAGTCCATATCTGTTAAAATGATCGAAGTTTAATTTTTTTTGCACACTAATGTCAGTGGACTCGTCCAACAGAAGACTAAAAGTTGAGTTTCCGATGTCGGCTCGCAAGTCGTCCATGAAATGCACTGCGAGTACATTTTTAATAATGTAGGTGCATTTTGTTCGACCTAATTTGATGTTTGCAGCAGCTTTGCAAGCTGAAAACTGCTCCACACATAACTGCTAAAACAATATTTAAAATTGCTAGATTTATGGCTAATAGCATTTTAAAAAAAAATTGCAATTTTTTTAAAAAGTGGCTAGATTTAGCAACTAAATTGCTAAACTGGCAGCCCTGTCACACTGATTTTGTCGTGCCTTATTTTCACTGCTTTAGCTCAGAAGACCGAGCCGACCAAATACGAAGTTGTCCGGGTTCTTCAGTGTTGAAAAAGTTTGTTCTACATGTCTAGTCTATGTGTTCTCTGGTTAGTGCTTATATGCATTTTATACAATTTCGATTTTTGTCAAAATTTACCCCCCACCTCTAATTCACCCCCTCACCTTCACATTTGTAAAAGGCTTATTTCAAATACTAGGGACTTGTGCAGATACATGCATATCTATGTTATATTCATAATCTGAAAGTTTCATGAAGATAGTCCATCCACAAGAAAAGTTATTGAACAATTAAGTTCCCATAGTAAACCAACACTGCAGCCAATGCGTGTTTATGCGTGCGTGTGTGTGCGTGTATGTGTGCATATGCGAATAATTATTGAAATATCAGTTGCTCGAAGGGTTCAGGGGATCTCGTAGTCGAGCAGTCTCGACTAGAGCTTTCTTACTTGTTATACCCTGAACCCATTGAAAATGGGAAATCAGGGTATAATGGTTTTGTTAAAAGTATGTAACAGGCAGAAGGAGGCGTGGTCAGGGCGACGAGCTGAGTCGATTTAGCCCTGTCCGTCTGTCTGTCCGTCCGTCCGTATGTATGAACGCGTCGATCTCCGAAGATATAAGAGCTAGAGACTTGAAAATTTTGTTTTCCTAGGTCCGTGTATATCACGCGCATATCTAGTTTTTCTCTAAATATCGATAACTACTCTCGATATTTTATTATCGATTAAAAGCCTTATCGAAAGCTAGTTATTTAATTATATCTCCTACACCTTTAGGGCTAGAGCTTCCAAATTTTAAATGTAGACTTATATATATTTTATACAATTTCGATTTTCGTTAAAATTTACCCCCCACTCCTATTTCTACCCCCTCACCCTCACCTTTGTAAAAAGCGTATTTTAAATACTTGTGCTTTGGAATATACATACATTTGAACATTATAATTATGTTCTGAAAGTTTCATTAAGAAATTAAATTATTCAACAAATAAATTCTTATAATGTTGCTCACACTGCAGCGCAGTGATTAGAATATCAGATTGGACGATTGAGGGTATCTACTAGTCGAGCAGTCTCGACTAGAGTCTTCTTGTGTTTTCTTTCGTCTATTGAGCTTAGGATTCAGGATATGTTCCCGTCACTTTTTTTACAAATATACTTTTTGATTGTAAGTCTTCGAATTCGAAAATTTGTATATGTTTTTATCATTTCTACATACAAACTAAGTTCATAAAAAAACACAACTAAAAATTCATAAAAATAAACCACAACTAAGCAAAACTTATATCTTGTAAAAAACTATTCAAAAGCAAACACTTTTAATACATTTTTACCATTATTGCAAGCCATTTTCCGTTATGGATAGCATATAATTAATCAATATGTTTAATATTTTAACAATTGGTAAACATCACTTAATATATATTCTTAAGCTACAATACACGACAAATATAATTGAATATTATTTTTGTTGATCCACCCAATCAGTATTTAATCGAACATCTGCGCAAATATTGGTTAAATCACAATCATCGATAAATTCAACGTGCGTAAAAGGAAAATGACCTTTTCGCCCATTTAGCTCCCCTTCCCACTGACCATTTATATTGGTTTTGGTGACTTTAATAATATCTCCTACTTCCAATTTCAATGCAGTTTTGTCATAAGCATTAGGCACACGAGACTGTTTAACACGAGCTCGAGCTGGCAATTTGCGCTAAAGATACGTAAACATATTTGAATATAATAAATAAATAATAATAATATATGTACGTTTTTTATATTTAAGTTACGCACGTTTAAATCAGTCCTTTTTAATGTACTAAATTGGCTGGATGATGTGGAAGGTGAACCGGAATTGCACCCAATGGTACGTGCAATACAGCCGCTTGTAATTGAAGTAGCTGTATCATCCTCTTCAACTATGTCATCGTACAAAAAAAAAAAAAAATAAATTGGATGGATACTCTTTTTGAAAATAACCAACAAAAGTTCAAGATTATGATAATTTAATTTGTTGAAAGCAACTTCAAAAACAGAAATTTGACATTAATTAAGATTGATCAACTTTTCAAAATCAATGCCTAGTGGTAGTATGAGTCGTTCTGAGAGATTGACTACTGTTGATATCCATCTTTATTATCGGGATGGATCGTAGTCACCTTGCGGCGTCAGAGATTAAAAATATTTCGGCTTTTTTTCACATAAATCGGCTAAGTACACATATCGTTTTAACATCCTATTTATCCCTTACATCTAAAACCTTTTTATATATATGTTAATTATATAAAAGAAGAAAATAATAAAATGCTTACACGTTGAACATAGGGAACTGGTATTTGTCCAACTAGACCAGTGGAATTGCGGGCTGTCCACCATTGGTCTTCATCTTTTCTGATTATCGTGAGAACTTCACCTCGTTGAAATGGTAAATCGTCTTGATCCTAAATGCTAAAAAATGTCACAAAATCTAAATTTTTCTTTTTATATACATACACTTCCAACAAAATCGAATTTGCCAATAACTTTTTCAAGTTTTTTCTGAGCAGGTCGCTTCAGTGGTGTGGTATCCAAATAATGCAGTGTATAGAAGGTCAATAACTTAGGAAGGTTTTCGAATGATTGGTCACCAATCCGGTAAACAATTTGGTCTTGTTGTTGCACCTTGTTTATAATGTAGTTACTAACCTTAGTGTCTTCTCTTTAATTAAAAATAAATAGCATGAAATATCCATCGACTTATGTGTACCATACATTGGTGTTCACCTACCTAACGCAAAGGACATAATCGCCTTCAATTGAATTGCTGTCGCGAACCAAAAAAACTCCTCGTTCCCTCTCACTCATTAATACTTCGGTTGCTTCTTGTCTAGTCATGGAGCCAAAATACCAGCTGAAACGATTTATATCAATTTTAAGTTATTTTGATAAAAATAATTAAAACTGCAGTATAATGGTATATATGTATATGAACGAAGATTTATGTTTTCGGTCAACAATGGTTAATTAACCGACCGGAATAACTATTTGTTTGAATTCTTACCTACTCCTATCAGAGACATCAAATGTATCCATGTTTGGTTCAAAATGGAAAAATTATATTCGGCTTCAATTTAATTTATTACCAATTTAGTATAAAAATATACATATACATATAATACATATGTATAAATAATATACAAATTCATATATATATACATATATACATATATATATATTTATATATATATATATTTATATATATATATATATATATATATATATATATTAAATAAAAACTTTTTTACTGTGTGCTCTTTTTTAACTTCTCCTTATGGATGTCCACTAGGGCTGCAAATCCATCGATGGAGACTATTGATAGTATCGATGGATTTGGGCTCTCATGATATATCGATGGGTTTTTTCATCCATCGATAATTTACTACTAGGTGGCGCGAAGAGACGCATGTAAGCATATTCCGGAATATACATATATAACAGAACATATATATATAAACATTAAGTTAATAATATTATTATATTGTGATTAGCTTTTATAGCTATATTTCAATGATATTTGGTGGTTCTTCGTAAGAAGAATGTATAGATAAATTTTTAAAGCCATCAATTAAGCATAAAACTGATGTTTAAAGTGCAAGTGTGTTTTTTATTATATGATGTACATTTAAGATGGCGCTTCTGCTTCGCGTTCTACTGTGGCGCACTTTGATAATTCTAAGTCTTCCACTGCTGCTGCTAATGCTACAAGATTTTTGCCCACCGCTTCTGAGGATGATGCATCCAATTTTGTCCATATGTAATACAATATATATTTTATTAGATATACAACCATCACATAAATATCCGATTACTATTGTATTGGATTCTTATACAAAATTGCACGAATCATTTTATGCTGGATGTATGATCGAAATTATTGAAAATTTATTAATTTGTAAGAACTTCAAATCTACGATGGAGCTATCGATAGTATCGATGGTTCATTCCATCGATCGATAACCTCTATCGAGGGTAACCTCTATCGATGGTTTTGCAGCCCTAATGTCCACATGGGGTATCGATATAACTGATAAAATTAAGATTTGCTAACCGGTAAATACAATCGATGACGATTGCTATGGAATTATTTAATAATATCAATATAATATAAATAATTAAATATTTAAATGGATTTTCATGTTATTATGTTACATTTAACTTTTTTGTTCATGTTTTTTTTCCATTAAATTAGAAATATATCGCACAATATATCGATATTACAGAGTTTGAGAGTATTAGTCGTACCACTGACCAGTGGTCGTACCCAATCTGAAAGTAGACTTAAAATCGATATCAAAATTTCAATATTTTTCTCGCATCTCTAGTGGCAACGCCATTTTGTGTAGAAGAGAAAATTTGAGAATAGCTAAACGGGTATTTCTTTGTGTTAATAATATATTATAAAGTAAATTGAATATATGTAAATTTGAGTTTCAAAGTGCTGTGCAATTGTAATATATTTACGGTATGTGAAACCCGTCGCATAAATACGCATTCTCAAGTGCATGCAACCTATGTTAGTATTCTTATGTGTGTAACTGTATACATGTATGTATATGTATACTTGTGCAAAGAAACTTGTTTGACGCAGATATACTTAACATAAGGGTATATACATACATAGATAAATGTTTTGTTGCTTGCATTTACAATTACAAATATGTACATTATAAATTTGGATAACTAGTAACTTTTTTGGTGTCTATAAGTAATGTATTTAATGAATGCAGTAACAAATTATATTTGACAACCGGAGCCATTGGTCGAAATTGTGATTTTAAGTAATTCTGGAAAACTACTTGATGTGTAGGTATGTATATATGTACATACCTAAATGTTCGAAAATACATTGACTAAAAACATAGATGTCCTATATCATTTATGAATTTAGTTCGTATTTTTTGCTTAAATTACTCCATATACCAAAAAACGAATAATTGAATAGTTTTTTTACTGGACAACTTAGAATGCATTTTGTAGACGTAAAGGCCAGGAGTTGACAAAACTTGACCCAAAACGGAGGTATGATTATAGCTGTATGCATATACATACATGTTTAAAGATGTATTTGTGTCAATAAATCAATGTTTAGAATTTAATATATAATTATATCATTATCGTATTCATATTAAACCATTATTGTATTTGCCCAATAACGTTAGGAGTTATATCATTGAATTTTATCAATTAGTTTCATGTAATTTTTTACTGTTTATATTACGTAAGTATAGTTACACACATATGTAAGTATAGTTGTTTAGTTAAAGAATTTAACAGAATGAAGCCCAATCTTACACTTTTGAGGCGTGGAAAAGTTGAATATACATAATAATTTTTAATTTAATATTCATTAATAAGTTAACGTTTCTGCGAAATTAAAAAAATAAAGTTGAAAATTAAAAAATGTAAGACTTGGATATACGTATTATGTATTAGAACACGCTAATTTTAATGTAGTATATTAATATATTGCATATTATCCCTTCACATTGATATAAAGAGCTTAGCTAAGTAACTTGAATAGCAATTTTTAATTATTTTTATTTTTTTTTTTTATTTTAATTATTTTTATATGGCAAGCACAGATCGAATCTGCTTCTAAAAATCTGTAGCTTTTTCCGTTCTGATGTGCTAGTTTAAATCACTTTACGAAAATCAGTAATATAACATGTAAGGAAGCAATTATCGAGATTGTTCGAACACACGTATAAATCCATACGTACGCATTAGCACGTGCTCTGCTAACTGTGCGATAGTAGCAACTGCACTCGGGCTTTTTATACCCTGTACCCATTGGAAATAGTATCCGAGTATAATGGTTTTGTTGACGTGTATGTAACATGCAGAAGGAGGCGTGGCAGAACCCACAAAGTATATACAGTAAGTCCATTAAATGTTTGCAAAACAAAACAAGTAAGAAGGCTCTAGTCGAGACTGCTAGGAACCCTGAACCCTCTAAGCTGATATTCTACTCATTCTACACTTCTCTAATGCACACATGCATAAACACGCTGCCACACGCATGTATAATCACGCCCTCTGCTGACTGCCCAGTTAGCAGCGACTGCGCTTGGGGAGCGCTGCAATGTGTGCAATATTATGAGAATTTATTTTTTGAATAATTTCTCTTGTAGTTAGACTATTTTTATGAAACTCTTAGAGCGTGATCATATGGCTAACATATGTGTACGTTCCATTCCATTATTCTCGATAAAAATCTTATCGCATGAGGTATCGAAAAAATAAGTTAAACTTGTACTGCCTATGGTATACACGAGTATGCATGCCAAATTTCAGCTCTCTAGCTCTTATATCTTCTGAGATCAATTGCTGATACAGACGGACGGACAGATGGACAGGGCTATATCGAATAGATATACTTTATGGGGTCTGCGATGATTCCTTCTGCCATTCCCATTTCTATGGGTTCAGGGTATAAAAACAGCAAATATCAGCTGTCTATTAATTCTTTGCAAAATTAAAACATTAGTTGAAAGGAGACGGGAAAAAGCTAACGGGACATCAAAATCAAATGCGGCTCGCGGCGTCTATTTTCACAAGTCTTCCGTAAATTCATTCGTTTTAATAAAGTTTTGGAATCACTACCATTTCTTTTAAAATTTGAATTTTCGCAATGCCTGGTAAACGCACCGATAAAAATTTGATACAATTAGTGTATTTTAATTATATCAAATTCTGTTTACTATTAATTTATAATATTATTGATCGGGCAGAAAAAGAAAATAGACTGGAACTAAACAGCCCTAAAGGCAGACCAACAAAGCTCTCTCGATGGGATTGTTCACTAATTCTTGAGACAGTGGAAAGGTATATATATTCTTGATCAGGGCGACGAGCTGAGTTGATTTAGCCCTGTCCGTCTGCCTGTCTGTTCGTATGTTTGAACGCGTCGATCTCAGAAGATATAAGAGCTAGAGACATGAATATTTTTAGTATAGATATAGCGCGGATGTCGAGTATATCTTCAAAAATCGATAAATCATCCCGTTATTATACCCTGAACCCATTGAAAATGGGAAATCAGGATATAATAGTTTTGTGAAAAGTATGTAACAGGCAGAAGGAATCATCGCAGAGCTCATAAAGTGTATACATTCTTGATCAGGACGACAAGCTGGGTCGATATAACCCTGTCCGTCTGCCCGTCCGTCCATATGAGTGCGTTTAATTTGTCAAATATTCAATAGAATATGTAGATCATATGCTGAAAGTTTCATTAAATTCCGTTAAATCAATCGACGTTGAAAAATAACAAAATGTTTGGCCAATTAACAAACATATCTGCAGCAGCTACAGTAGTTTTTCTTAGAATCACATTGCGATTGTTGTGCTAGAGTTTTGAACAGTTAGTTTAAATTTGCTAGATGGCGCTGCAGCAGGGAACCTATTTTAGTTTTGCTTTCACATTTTCTACAAGTTTAGTGGCGTTGTGACCAGCAGCAGTTCCAAAATATTCATTTTTCCCAATTGCACAATTGTGTATAAATATAAATATATTACACCGTGTAAGTATATGAGTTTTTTATTTCATTTATATTTTTAAATAGATCGAAATTGAAATTTGGAACCATACCAAATGTGAATTTCTATTATTATTAGTTTGGTTCAGGGTAGTATCTAGTCGATCACTCTCGACTAGAGCTTTCTTACTTTTTTTTTTTTTTTTATAAATTCTTTTGTAGGGGAATACTCTTGGGCAAAAGGAGCGTGGTATCTGAAATCTATCAATTAAAAATTATTTCTATTCGTTAAATGCGTTCACACATTAGATCTGAAGTTTCTAGGTCACTATTCATATTACGCTTAAGAAAGGAAATAAAATGGTCGATTATTGTCGATAAATAAGAAATGGCATGGTATACACCAATACGTCTTTTATTTTAAAAAAAAAAAAACATTTTTTAATTTCCCACATGCAATGAGTTCAGAGTATAACCATCCTGCACATAGTCCTCAAATTATACATTTAGATTAATGTGTATTTCAGTTAATTATAATTGTTGTATAGCGGCCCAGAAATCGGTGAGCGTGCCTATGCGAGAAATTAAATAAATAAAAAAAAAAAGTTATACATATGAATTTTGATATTAAATTTTATTTATTATTGTTTTTACAGAAAGTTCTTTAAAATGTGATGGGAGATCAGGCTCTATCTTTGTGGATGTAGCTCCTCTTTCAATGGCAGGCAAGGAGCGTCACCAAGCAGTATTAAATATCAAATTATCAAAATCAAAGAAATCTAAATTAAGATGTACCCAACAACCTATTAAAACTGCCAATAATCCGAATTGTAATACTCAGCAGACATCTGCGGAAAATAGTTTGTTAAAAAACTGTCAAATCAGGCAGGCAAATAACAATATCGTTGCCATGCTGACATTGTTTATATGCAACAGTCAACTTATATTTCGGAAAAACTTTAAAATGTTTATTGCATTATTAGTGACGTTTTCCTTAATATGCACATCGCAATCGATATTATTGGATGAACAAGTCGGCAGTGCTGTGATCTCGAATAACACGAGCTACCGAACAAGTGGAAAATCAATTTCAAGCAATAATACGGCTGGTAGATCTTCAGTAGCCGTAAACGGCTATCTCGATAAATTGGACAATTTGGAGCGAAGTGTTGCCGCTGTGTTGATTAAAGTAGCTTACGGAACAACATCAACTACAAAACGAAGTATTCCCGACAATAGCTACATTTTGGGCCTCACTACTGTAGCGACGCCACTTTTAACTACACTCAGGTAGGTAGATAGTAGAAATATCCGTATCTTTACAGATTGGAGGTTGAATTTATGAATATATATATATATGCGCGTCATCAGGTTAGCGCCGCCCTTTACAGTCAGCCTAAATGCTAAATAAAATCTAAACCATCACAGCTCTATCTTTAAATTTGTATACTCATTCACGAAAGTGAAATGAGTATATTGGTTTTGTGCAATGTCCGTCTTTCTGTCCATCCGTTCGCCTATCCGTAGGAACTTCATATATGATCATACTATGAAGGCAGTCCATTTCGTGTATATCTCCGATTTATAAAGTGTTAAAAATTTTCCCGAATAAATACCCTGTAATATTCACATTTTTTGAGCGTAAGAATTCAAATTTTGCATTTAGGTTACCGGTTGCTCGTTCTCAGAACTTGCCAAAAATGAGAAGTCTACGGCTACTAGAGGCGTGGGAATCGGCATTTATAGTGAACGAATCGCGGCATTTATATGCGTCAGCCATCTATTTATGTATTTGTACATATAAATAAGCTTAATAGATGTTCATATTACGGACAGAAACATTTTTATCAAATTTAAAAAATTTAAAAGAAGCTAAAATAACAAAAATTTGCAGTTTACAAAAAAGAGTTTTCCGCGGGATTTGAACTCGCACCCAAGCCGAATAGCATGTTCATGTCAAAATATCTAAATAGCATCACCAAGTCGTTTCGAATTTCGGCTGGAAATTCACAAAACAATGCAAAGACAAGGCTGGAATGCTTGATGCTATGCGTGAAGACTTACATATATACATATGTACTTATTAGCGTATATGTATTTGGGGCATATTTAAGAAGAAACAAATTTAAACTCATAAAACTATTCGACTAAGAAAAAGAAAAGTATTAGGTGCCATTCATTCAAGCACGCAACTTCCCAGTAAAATATCTATTTTATAAAAAGCGAAATATGTACAGTTTGGCAAGAAAGTGTTTACACACAGGGAAAAAATTTGAATTTTTTACTTTGAAGCGAAATAAAAGCAGTAAGAATATGCATATTCAATTTTTTTAAATGAAAGTAGGTATATTAGACTATAAACTATATTAGTAAGTAAAAAAAATTACAATATGTTTCCATTAACAAAAGAAAATAACAAAAAACAAAAGAAGTAACAAAAATCAGCTGACAAGAAAGTGTTTACACAACTAAAACAATTAATTCATTATAATGTTTTAACTACTTTTTAGTTAAAACTAATACTTTTTTTGGCCACCGTTGGCATCTATGACTGCTCCCAAGCGTCTATTCATCGATTGGACCAAGTTTCTGACATATTCCACTGGGATATTTCGCCATTCCTCCAAAACAATGGTTTTCAGCCCAGTTTTATTCTTTGGATGTCTCTTGGTGGGTAAAACTGCCACAGAGATTGGCCAAATGTTTTTGATTTTTTGGAAAACAGTATATAATATACTAAGCCGTGCAAAAAAAGAGGATAGGCTTGAGTTAAAGGTTAAAGGTTAAAGTTAAAGGACACCCTCATCTATTATCACCCAGGGCAGAGCGAATTATGCTCAGAAAAATGGACGAGAAACCAACTATTTTGACCAGGATGGTTGCCAGTGAGCTGAAGGAGGAGTGTAGCATAACCATTTCCCGGGAAAGTGTCAGAAGAGCACTAAAAAGTAATGATCTGTCGTCCCGACTAGCCCGGAAAAAAACACTGATGTCGGCAGATCACGCTCAAAAGCGTCTAACGTTTGCTAAAATGCACGGAAATCAGCCAGATTCATATCGGGATGATGTAATATTTTGCGATGAATCCAAAATGATGGTATATTATAACAATGGTCCAACTAGAGAGTGGGGCAAGCCCCTAAAAGCCCTCGAGAAGAAAAATATAATACCGACTGTTGATTTTGGGGGTGCATCTCAAGCAAAGCAGTTGGATATCTATGTTTTATTGAGAACACCATGGATGTTGGACAGTATTTTGACATTTTGCGCACACATTTAGTAACCAGTGCCAACAAATTTGGATTCTTTGTCAATGGCAAACCAACTATAAGGTTTTATCAAGACAATGATCCCAAACATAAGGCGCATATTGTGAGGTGCTGGCTACTTTATAACTGAAAAAATGTGTTGGATACGCAAACTAAAGGCCCGGACTTAAGCCTCATTGAGAATTTGTGGGCTTATCTGAAGAAGAGGACCGCCAAGAGGCATCCAAAGAATAAAACTGAGCTGAAAACCATTGTTTTGGAGGAATGGCGAAATATCCCAGTGGAATATGTCAGAAACTTGGTCCAATCGATGAATAGACGCTTGGGAGCAGTCATAGATGCCAACGGTGGCCAAAAAAAGTATTAGTTTTAACTAAAAAGTAGTTAAAACATTATAATGAATTAATTGTTTTAGTTGTGTAAACACTTTCTTGTCAGCTGATTTTTGTTACTTCTTTTGTTTTTTGTTATTTTCTTTTGTTAATGGAAACATATTGTAATTTTTTTTACTTACTAATATAGTTTATAGTCTAATATACCTACTTTCATTTAAAAAAATTGAATATGCATATTCTTACTGCTTTTATTTCGCTTCAAAATAAAAAATTCAAATTTTTTCCCTGTGTGTAAACACTTTCTTGCCAAACTGTATGAAAAAAATAATAACATCGAAGAGGTTTCGAACGGGAGGCTCGAGGAGGTACTCTAACATAACTTGCGTCGCCTTTAGCACACGCGCTACTGCTTTGCTTGATCAGCCAGTTGCTAAAATAGAATAACTTATTAACAGAGCGTCATCTGAAAAAACTACAGTAACGGCTAGCAAATCCAGAAATCAATCGAAATTCTAAGAATGTGAGAAAAGGCGCGCTTCTGTCTGTACGCATAGAATAGACGATGAGTGTGTGCACATGTATAGGAAGGGATCGCGCTGATCTGCTGCTAGACGGACAAGACGGATATTGCACAAAACCAATGTACAGTGGACCAGTAATGTCTTCGTACAGCAATGATTTTTTTCTTTGGCAACGATTAAGTGATGAAAGATGGGCAAAAATTAATAATTTTTTGCCTCCAATAAAGTCTTCGTACAGCGTACTTTCCTAGAACTTTAGCTGCAGACAAAAAGCGACAGTGATAATGTTTTTTTTTTTGCGAATTTTTGCTTATGTGCTTTACGCATAGTTGCGAAATAAATTCGAATGAAAATTTATGCACATTTGAAGGGCGAGTGGAAAATAAGCCAAAATCAGGACGACCGAAAATTTTGAGAAACTCAGATCAGCTGAATATAAAGCGAATGGTATCCTCGGATCCATTTATTAGTGCAAATATGATAAGTATAGAGTTTTTAAAGTCATCGAACAAGAAGGTGCACACACAAACTATTCGAAAAGCCATAGTTGCTAGCGGGTATAAGTCGTGCACTCCGAGACGAAAACCCTTTATAAGTAGCGCTAATCGCAAAAAAAAGTTTGGAGTTTGTTCTTCAGTACAAAAATGCACCAATTGAGCTCTGCCGTGATATATTATTCTCAGACGAATCAAAATATAATATATTTGGATCAGATGGACGACTGCGTGTGTGGAGAAGACCTGGAGAGGCACTAGATCCAAAAAACACAATTAAGACAGTAAAGCATGGTGGTGGTGGTGTGATGGTATGGGGTTGTATGGCTGCTTGTGGCATCGGAAATTTGGAAATAATTGATGGAGTGATGGACCACTTTAAATACATTGACATTTTAAACAAGTAAGAACGTTGCAGTCGGGCGTTACCGATTACGGAATACTCATTCACATCCCATCAGCAATTTAATAGTTAAGTTTCGCTCTAACACTGTCGAAAATGTAGTTTTTCCCGATTTGCCATTTATAGAATCATAACATTAGCTGGCATGCAAAATTTCAGCGCTCTAGCTGTAAAACTGTTGGAGATACAGCTTTATCCCATTTGCCACGCCCCCAATGGGCGGAGATATATCCGCCATAGCTCGTGATCTTGGGTGGTCGATGCGGATCTATATTTCAGCTTTCTAGCTCTTTAATTAATATGATTTCTGGCATATCGCCCCTAGTGGGCGGATCGGGAAAATTTTAACATTTTATAAATCGGAGATATACACGAGTATGTGTTCCAAATTTCAAGTCTCTAGCTTCCATAGAGCCGAAATCTATTTTCAACATGACAATAATCCTAAACATATGGCACATAACACTAAAATGTGTTTGGCATACAACACTCTCCATTTATTAAAGACACCACCACAGAGTCCTGATCTTAATCCGATAGAACATTGCTGGAATATGTTAAGAAAAAATGGTCAGAACACACCACATTAGTTCAAAATCTAAACTTATAGAAGTACTAAAAGAGGAGTGGGTGAAAATTGACAAAAAATACACAGAAAAGTTAGTTTTGTCGATGCCAAAAAGACTAGAAGCAGTTATAAAGAACTAGCTGGCCCGGCAAACGTTGCATTGCCCTATCCATTATTTCTAGGTAAAAATTGTTGAAAGCTATGTTGTTCAGGTTGGGATACACTCTGATTAATTTATTAATCTGATTTTCATTCAAGCACCTTGTGGTAAACGACATTCTTCGTTTTTTGGTTAGGTGCAAGAACAAATAATGCGGATGGTTTGCCAACACGTGAGCACGTACAATTGACCATGAGAAAAACACGCATTTTTTAGATTGAGGCCACAAATAGCCAAAGATTGGCCCTATGATTTGTGGATCATCATGGCGAAGGCAAGACGAATCGGGAATTGAATTCGTTTAAACTCAAAGGGCATATCTGTTGGGATCATCGGAATCCTAGGAATAAGAACTTCCTACATCTTTAAATTTTCCTTTGAGTATCGACGCGTGAATCACATTGATCATCAGTTTTCTTATCACCAAACGCATTCCATTGCACAGTTTTGGTTAGTTTAAATTTCTAAGCATGATAACTACCGAGCCAACCTTCAGTTGTAAATTGTGTGGTGGTAAACCAGGCACATCCAAGGAGTTCA